ATGAGCGGCCGCCAGCCGGCACGTTCGGTATTCTGGCGGCTGATGTAGCCATTATCTGGACCTCCATCGGTCCAGTTCAGGTATACCGGGAACGGTTTTTACGCTTTCATGCCGAAGGTGGCTAACACTCAGAAACTCGCTACCGGGAAGCCCTATTTCGTTCCAAAGCAGATCCGCAGTACGCTTTGCCAGTTACGTAGTCCAGCTTCCGGACCACATACGGTTAAGAAGCGGTTTACCGCTATGGGACCTCGTTCATGCGCGATTGAATTTCGCGCCGTTTCATGAACAACTAGGACCGCTGAGAGGGCGTTCGTGTCTCCCTTTCCACTTAACTGAATCGTTGTCATCGCGGCACGGCGTCCATTGTGTTGTGTGTTGTGTTTGCTTTCAGCTTGGCTTGACTTTTCTTTTGTATAGGTCTTTCTTCAAGAATTTTTTTTATTCTCTTTGCATTATCCCCGTTATTCTTAAATGTGTTAGGTTGTGTGCCGTTAAAGTGATACTGATTATCAATTTATCGATGATTTTTGTGTTTTGCTTCCGAGCTTGCTGCGTCGTGTCCACCTCCGCCAGATAATAAAGGTACCTGAAAGTTTATCAGAAGGTGAACAAACCGAGCCTTAGTTGTTCAAATTTAAAACTGTGCCATTGTTGATTTCCTATTATTAGAAACTATGTTTATTTGTTACATTTGTAGTGTACCCATTGACACATTCTAGTCATGATGTGAACTACATATAAGAAATTTGTGCTTCTTTTTCCTTAGATATTTTTTTTGAGAGCTAGAATAAGTATATTTCAGTGTATTTTTTTTCTAGCCGATTATGCTCTGTATTAGTTATTTGTGTACCAAGGCCCTAAAGTTGATCTTTTTTGGCCGAATCAGAAATTTGCGGCCGAGGCGCAGCCGAGGCCAAGCAAATTTCAGGTGAGGCCAAAAAAGATCATTCGGCCGAGGTGCACACAAAATTTTTTAGGCGAGTGTTTGTTCTTGAAAAAAAAAGAAAATTCAACAGTAGCTTTAAACTTTATTGATCAAATAAATAATCCAGCAAAGATAGGTAGATACACAATTATTAATAACAAAAACTACGATAAAGAGAGTGTGATTATAAAAAATTGCCGACTTTTTCGCCTGGTATCTTACATTGAGCTTTTTTAAAAAAGTAATCAATTTTGAAAACTTGCTAATATGTTAGGTATTTCCGACTATAATTGTAAATTTTAACATAAAGTATACCATAGGTGGACCGGAAGACCATAACGTTGAGGATTATTTAATTTTGGCATTTTCCGAAAAAAATGCAAGAAAATACTTCTCCCAAATTTTTAATCATACATTTTTTTTTAGCATTTTATGTGGAAATTTGGATAGAGCTAAAATTAAAAACTTGGTTTCATTGTGGTTGCTAACTAATTGTTTATTGGTTGTGTTGATGGTTACGGCACTGCGTTTCCGATTGTTTCTTTATTTTCACCAAAGTAGCGGCCGTAAAGTAAAAGCGGCCGTGAAGTAAAAGCGGCCGTAAAGTAATAAAGCAAATGCGGCCGTGAAGTAAATGCGGCCGTAAAGTAAATCCGGCCAAAAAAGATATACTTTAGGGATGATATTGAATCCGTAAAACTAATCTTTTTGTGACAGTCGCCTAAAAAATAATTTGTTGCATAAGTTATTATTTTATACCTATTATTATTATTTATTTGGTAAGTTTTTTTATTTGCAATCATATATGTAATCTTGTCATTACTGACTTTTTAAAAATTTGGAAGTGACACTTTACCTGTGTCACTTCCCTCTTCGATTTCCCTCACCGATTTCCCTATTCGACTTCCCTCACCGATTTCCCTCACTCTATTTTATTTACCTTTGCTGGCAACAATAAGAACATATCAGGTAAAAACGTCAAAGCAGTGAATGACACATTTTGGCATGTTTGTTTTATTTTTTTAATATTGAAAAAATTGATTGACTAATCGTAATTAATGGTGTGCTTGCAAATAAAATAGTATACAAACCTCGGAGGAAAGTTTTCATTTCTGTCTCGAGATTAATAGTCAATCTCGACGCTTCGCGTCTCGATTGACTACATAAATCTCTCGACAGTAATGGAACACTTCCGTACTCGGTATGTAATATACTATTTTTGGTTTAGTTTTTCGAAACTAAGCATTTTAGTCATGATCATGATGTGTAAGTATTTTGCATTCCTTACAAGGCCGGCTTAAGGGGGTGCGGCGAGATGGGCGGCACGATCCAGGGGCGGCAAATTCATACCATACAACAACAACAAAAATTAATAGAAAATGAAACCAACGACCTAAAAAAAATTAAGAAATATAAATCGAACAGCGAACCAATAGACCTATCTATTTTTACCTGTATGCGCGCGCAACACGAGGCAATGCATTTTTATTGGCTAACTAATACAGGTGAGAGGTGTTCGTTTTGCACGCTAGGCATTTCCTTCTCTTTGTTCATTGCCCGTGGTCTGACAAGGATTATGGTTGATAATAACTTGACGTAGCTTGACAAGTGATCGATTTTCAATGGTTTGTGTTTTTGATCGACAAATAGGTTGCACGTCACGCGGTTTTCCTCCTTCCCTTTCTATCCCGTGCAGATAATAAGAAGGGATTGCTATACATAAGTCTAACATGGTTTGGTACGTTTTGCCTCGTCTTGCGCAATAGGCGTTCTGCGTCTTTTTCTATATAATAAAGTTTTCGTATTATTACCTCTTTGTCTGGTAAAATAGATAGGTCTATTATACAGGGTTTTTGGTACATCTATAGAAGATTTCAAGAAGATTTCAATGAGTGATAGGATGATAGTTGGGGTGGTAATGACGTCCATGTCCGAGTTTTTTTTAAAAGGTAAAGAAAGGATGTTCCTTAGACGTTTGATTTGGTTGTTCTCGAAACCTCTGTTAAAAACAATTAAAGAACGTCAGAATGTTTTCTATCAGCCGTATTCATAATCAATCGCCAGCCAGTCGCTGTATTTGGCCCAGCACACGGCGACTCTCGCTGGCGATTGACTATGAATACGGCTGTATGAGTTCGTGAAAGTATGTTTTCATGAAAAGTCATGAGAGACGTTTTATAAAGGTTTCCGTTGGTCGTTTTCGGGAACACCGTTGGAAACATATATCCCACGTTCACACGTCCGGAAATTATTAGTTCGAATAAGACGTTTTTAAAAGGTTGTTTGTAATCGCGATATTTGCACTATAAAATAAGTCTATTGGATGGTGTTGGATACTTTGAAGGAAGTCCAGTGAATGTTCGAATACAGATCTTTGAAAAACGGCCTTTTTCGTTTTTAAGCGTTCGTATTATAGCATTTTTGAAACGCTCATTTTCGACGTCTATATGACGTTTGAAGTGACATTTGCACCAAATAAAAATACACCTTTGGATATTCTCAGTTATTTTCACTGACGTTTTTAAAACGTTCTGACGTTCTGATATTAAAGCAGTTTTTTTATACCTATTTAAAACTTTTTTTTTTAAATAAAAACCTAATTTTCATAGTGTGAATACCAGGGTTATTGGTAACTCATGGAGATATGATAAGGGAGGAGGTAAAAAGAGAATTTAACTGTAACATGATTTATGCAAATCTCAATTTTTTTAAAGATATTTCAATGCTTTTGTTTGTTTTAAAAACTGACCTAATTGCCTTGAAAACTAATTTGCAAAAAATCTTACCGTACATTTTTTCAACTTTAAACATAAGACCATACCATGTTGGACAAGTAACCCAGTAGAGAAATTGAGAAAATTTACGGTAGATTTTTTCCGAATTAATTTTTAAGGCAATTGGGTCTATGTTTTCATGAAAACATCGAAATACAAATGTTTCGGGGTGCCTTCGCCTTTTTCTGGCAGATAATAATGGCGGTTTATAAGAGGATAGCCCCTTGCGAGCCGCGGATGGTCTGCCGAGCCTCTACCGGCTCGGCTATCTACCATCGGCCCGTCGTCGGTTATTCCAAGGTTTGTCGAGGCTAAAGGTTGGCTAGCCGACTTTTAGCCACCTTACGGCCTGGCGGACATGCCCTACCTACACGCCGAGCCGGCCGACGTAGGCGGGCGCACACGGCAGTTCGGCAAATCGCTTTCGTCCCGTTGTCGGACCAGCCAGTTCGTGTTTGTTGGGATTTGTCATCTCGCTTAGTTCGTCCAAAAAAGCTACATAGTGGGGGATCCCTTTCTCTCTCCAGTTCATTGCTGTTAGGTTTGGTATATTCCTAACCTCAAATATATTATTTTTTAGACCAAGAAAGATTTCCATAATTCGCCGATAAGATAAATAGAGATAGGTTTACCCCACATTCTCCATCTCAATTTGCCGCAAATTTCTGGATCGGCGGGCCATTCCAGGTAGGTACCTATGTAGTTTATAGTTCATTGCAAATCAATCAGGAATAAAATCTTAACTGTTTGATACTATTTAATTGTTATTGTTGAAACACAAACCTCATTAGTGATTTCCAATTACTTTGAACAGTGTGTTCAAATCGAAATAATTTTTTTTTGTAGATCAAAAAGTGTAAATCTAGCTTTAAAATCATTGGAAGAAAAATCATCAAGTCATCTTGATGAAAACAGTGAAGCATCTCTGAATAAAACGGATACTATTGGAAACAAACTTATCAAATGTTCTGTGGTTAATCAATGACATTATTGGATACACAAACATATTTTGACAACACTTTTGACAATAATAAGTTTTTTACTATCCAGCTTTCGATTTCCACTCACGAAGCTTGAAGAAAATCCAGCTTAAGCTACTCAATAGGTAAGCAAAGAAATTCAATAAACTTATGGTTGTTTGCACCGACCATTTTAAGAAAGCCTTTTAGCGAAAAGTAACCCTGAAAATGAGATTTTTTTATTATAGTTTCTTCTACTGCCAGAATGGCTAACAGAAATGAAGCCGGCATCCTTACAGCCGCACCAAGGGTCAGGATTCCGTTTGCTGCAAAGTGCGCCTATGGTTTCGGAATGGCTTTAGTTTTGGCTTTTCCTCCGTTGCTCACCATACATTTCACTCCCTACATGAGAGACAAAAGGGACAAACCAAAATAATTTGAACATTTTTATTTCTATAATTTTATTATCCATGTTGAATAAATAAAATTTAACTACAAAATACCTATAGAATTTTAATTTTAATTTTTTTGATTTTGGCTGTAAAACTCTATTTTTACAATTGAAAAGGCTATGGTCAAATTCACGATAGAAAAAAAAGTTGACGGTTCACTTTGACAATCCTAGTAATTTTTTCTGTAGGTTGCCAGCATTTGTTAGCGCTTCGATTCCGAGGTGGGATAAACGACAGGGCCGTATTTAGAAAATTGATTTACATTTCAGAATGAAAATTTATTATCAATTTCTTTAGGGGAAGTTAAGTTATTAAAATCCTGCATAGTAATAATAAACATCAATTAATTCTACGTAATTTTCGGCATTTCTTTTCAAGAACAAAAAATCAATTAGACAGGTTATAAGGAACACGTGGCTTTGGAAATAAAACAAATTTATTATTTTTAAACTTTAATTATGAACATTGATTATTTTAGGTCTTGTTTCAATGATATAGAAACGTGTCAACTAGAAACAGAAGCATTCGATGCATCCAGAATTCTCCTGAGGTTGGCAAAAAAGCTTCAAAAATAAGTACGATTAAGATATCTTAATTTCTAAAAATAAACGAGAAAATTTCTGAAATAAAACGAATTAATGATTATTAATTGAATAATGGAAAATTACATCAGGGTTTGTGGGGCTTTTCTTTCAAACGGCATAGAATATTAATAATCCTAATTTCTATAAATGATAAACGAAGCCATTTCTGAAACAAAACGAGTCAATGGATAAATTAAATAAGTAATGAGAAAATTTTACCAGGGTTTGTGTGGCTTTTCTTTCAGAAGGCATAGAACAGGAACAATCTTAATTTCTATAAATAATGATGAACGAAACAATTTCTGAAACAAAACGAGTCAATGGATAAATTAAATAAGTAATGAGAAAATTATACCAGGGTTTGTGGGGTTTTCTTTCAAAAGGCATAGAACAGGAACAATCTTAATTTCTATAAATAAAGATGAACGAAACAATTTCTGGAACAAAACGAGTCAATGGATAAATTAAATAAGTAATGAGAAAATTTTACCACGGTTTGTGTGGCTTTTCTTTCAAAAGGCATAGAACAGGAACAATCTTAATTTCTATAAATGATAAACGAGGCAGTTCCTGGAATAAAACGAGTCAATGGATAAATTGAATAGGTGAATAATGAGAAAATTATACCAGGGTTTGTACTATTCACTATCACCAGTCGAGTCAGAGTCGAAGTTTATAATTAGGGGCTGCACTTTGCTCACAGGAATTATTATAGTTTTTTCCTTGTCATATGCGGCCCTAATTACCTCATGCGTGTGTTTTACATAATGTGCCCATTGGTCTTTGGACACATTATCCAGCGCCTTCTGCCATGTCCCTAAGACATCTTTTTGCAAAAGGATCAGCTGGTCATAATACCGTTTAGCTTGACTCCATACCATTTCAATCGCATTGAATTGACAATGGTCTGGAGGTAAGCGCAAAACCTGGTGACCCGCTTCCATAATGACATTGTCCGCAACAAAGGATTTCTTGGTCTTGGGGACTTGTCGGATGATGTTCCACAAGCTTGCTTTTGTGGACGCTGGGTCAAAAGGGATAGCCTTTGCCTCCAACCACCTCTGCATCTCGTCTTTCTTCCAGCTCATAACAGGCCACTTTTCAAGTAGCCTGCTATGATAGGACGCATTATCCAAGATGATAATAGATGGTTCCGCTAATTTGGGAAGAAGAACATTTCGCAACCAATTTTCAAAATTTTCGCTGTTCATCTCCCCATGGTAGTCCCCTGAATTAGTTTTTGATTTGAAAATCAGGCTGGAACCATCGATAAAACCATCTTGTCCTCCCGCATGTAAAATTATGAATCTGAAACACAATGTTGCATTATTCTAGTTAAATAATAGCATAAGTCTCTTAGGAATTCCCTTGAAAATAATATTATTAACTTGATTGCATCTTTTTTAGCTTACAAAAATAAAACGTATTTTTTTTCTTAAACTTACTCATCTGACAGTGTCCTACCTGTAACCATCACCCTTGCTTTTCTTCACGGAACGAGTATCCTCATCCTGCCAAGACTTCCTTAAGGATCCATTTGAAAAAATCCATGTTTCATCAAGAAACACATATAGAAGCTTAGCAGGACCTAAGGCTTCGTTGTCCATATAGGACTTCAGGAAAAATCTTCTCAGATGGCTCACCTCAGGCTTTTCCATTAGGGCTCTTCTTGGATCATTCTTTCTATAGGTAAATCCAATTGTGGAAAAAATTCTGCCTAAACTTGACTGGGAACCGTGATAAATTTCCCTTTCTTTCAACCGATCACTTACAGTTTTAAGGGTAACATGCAATTCTAAAAACGAAAAAAGCTTGTTTAAATATTGTAGTAGTTACATTTTATAAATGAAATATACATAGTCACATCAGCCTTTCCATGTAATTGAATTATGAAAAATAGTTGACCAAAAACTATTGCAGAAGAGAGGGGTATGTTTTCTGTGCAATAGTTTATTAAGAAAATCCGCAGAGCGCTTTCGGCCCTGAGCCATCTCCAGTGCTGCTTGGTCGCAGGTACATACATCACTTACAAGAGACAACGGACACAAGTAGACGTGCATAATAGAATTCAACTACCAATTAATCGATTACCTGTGAGATTACAAAAACTGCTAAATTATACAAAAAAGGAAAACTGACAGGGACGTGGGCGGCAGGCTTTTGACGTCCACCCCCCTATAGCGTTTAACCAAGAATTCGAACTTGGGCATCGGCCACCTGCAGATGGCACATTACGCCTTTAAATAATTTAAACATGCATAATATTAGATGATACATTGAATAGGAAGTTTAATTAGAAATTACCATGCTTAGAGATACCAAATACCACTAGGAAATATGACAACACAAAATGCTAATCATCTTAACAACAATAAACCCTACACACAAGATGAATCATGTAGGTACAGAAGCTTTGCAAGTTTCTAAAAGCTGTGTACGTCAGAATATGGATACTTATCCTTATGAAAAACTCCAATAATTCAGTTATATTGAAGATCGAGAAAACAATGGTTCTAAGAAATGTCATGAAATTATAGAATGAAAGAAATCCTAGCAGCAGCATCTTAATTTGTGTTGACCTGAAATAAAAAACAGTATTAAATTATGAAAAACAGTTTAATTTGATCTGAGAAGTTCCAATGTTATCAGGTGTATTCTTTTTGAATCTGGTAATGTTAATATGAAGTAACATTGAAACAATTCTATGTTCAAAGTAGAACATCAACTTACTCTCGGTATAAATTTGATATATTTCTGATCGAATGCTCTGTTTGAGGCTTTCCCTTGAATCAGCTGTCTGCAACTTCTTACGCTTCCGTGTGACAGGGGTAATTTCAGAGTCAACTGGACCATCCTTATTTTTATAGACAGTGGTGTGACTCAGTTTTAAAACCTTAGCTGTCTCCTAGAAGGGCAATGAAACAGTAAATTGCAATTTATTTATTATAAATTAAAAAAGCCACTCGCTTCGAAAATATCCCCTTCCAAAACTTGTAACTACATTTACTGATATTAAGACGAAAAAGTTCCTATGATCAATCAACGATAATTTTATGGTTATTAACTTACAGTTATGGGATTTTGATTTTCATGTGACACCATGAAATGGTTGTACACAAGCTGTATAAATTTCTGGGCCACAGGGTTCCCATAAACTATTGGTCTCTACAAAAGGATTATTTGCTTATATTTATTAACAGACCGAGAGCCGAGAGGGTTTTTGCATGTATCATAGACCCCACTTTGAATTCCCGGTATAGCACTCCTAAAGTGTAGCTTTTAGGAGGGGTGAATTTTCAAACGTGTAATTGATATACATGCCCCTATATTATGAGCCCCAATTTGATTCTTGTTTTATGTCATCAAGGAGGTCGCCAAAGTCCGCGAACTCAATATGCCATACCAATATGGCGTCACTTAAGGCCCGCCATACTTACCGAAACGTGCAATTTTTCCACCATGGATATGGATCTTGGGCCCCACGATGTTCTTTTGTGATCTTTGTTAACAATTAACTGCAGAATAAATATTTCAAAATGCCATACTCCTGGGGCGTCATCAAGTTGCCGCCATATACATGCTCATTGCTAAAAATTACATGTTTGCCCTAATATGGCGGCCACTTGGTGACGCCCCAAAGGTATGGCGTTTTGAAATATTTGTTCTGCAGTTAATTTTTAACAAAGATCACAAAACAACATCGTTGGGCCCATGATCTTTATCCACGGTGGAAAAATTGCACATTTCGGTAAGAATGGCAGACCTTAAGCGACGCCATATTGGCATATAGCATAATATTGAGTTCGCGAACTTTGGCGACCCTCACGACATAAAACAAGGCCTATGATCCAGGGGCATGGATATTAATTACAGGTCACCCCACCTAAAAGCTACACTTTAGGGGTGCCATACCGATAATTCAAAGTGGGGAACAACGTTGTCTATCAGCCCCCAAAGCCTTGGCGCAGGGCCTATGATACAGGCAAAAACCCTTTCGGCTCTCGATCTATAAATTTAAAAAGACTACCTTGTCACTTTCCCTCTGGCTTGAAGAAAAAAGTGATTTGTCTTCAAAAAAAAGCATCTCCAAGGTTTATTGCTGTTACCTAAAAATTATTGGAAATTAATTATGGCAATGGTAATTTAAAATTGCTAATTTTACCGTATTTTCTGAGACGCTGGAACAGGGCAAAGTCTCCAGAACCCTGGACAATGGTCTGTCATTTCTGTCATCGCTAATAGCAAAATCGGCACTTAAAATCGTAATATTGTGTGAGTATTAGGTTTAACTCACCTGAAGACGTTAAAATAAACCAGATAAAAGTCATAAAGATTTCAAAGTAAACAGTTATAAAAAGCGTAAACACTTGAATCCAAACATCCAAACTAAAACTAGGTTTTAAACGCAGCACCGAAACACAAAGGCACAAAACACTACATGAAGAACCGATTGTGAATATAATAGAATAATAATGCAGAAAACGGCAAAAAACTGAAACAATTTCACACAAAAATCCGAATTTACAAATACAAAATTCAAAGATCCGAATCTGGATATTTTTATATGTCAAATCGAAATGTCATGTATCAATATTTGGTAGTTGCCAGGAAACAGCGGAAAAAAGAAAAGATCTGGGGATTTCTGGGGATTTTTTTTTTTTTCGACTGGTGGAAATAACGGTCAAAATTTAAACTCTATCGTGAATATGACTATACCAAGCCGTCCAGAAGGTTGAGGATAGTGGAACGGCCATTAATGAAAAATAAATTGATAGTTACTGATCTCAGTGAGCCTTCCAGTTTGCTATCAACGTTGAAGTAGTGAAGATCTGTGTAGTGAAGTTTACTTCACAGATTAACCCCTCCTAGATAAGAAACTCATGCCTTTTTCCCTATCCTTGTCTTACTCATACAACGAGTTGCATGACTGTGACGGCATGGGGGCGCTAGTGTGCACTTCGGTGTGTTCAGTGTTGTAGCAGTTGTCACATGGTCTCCCGCCTTTTTTCAAATAATTTGTCTCTATTCGATTGCATCTTATTAAAACACATATATGTAACTTACATAACAGTATACCATCTCCTTCCTTATTGGAACAGCAACAAAAATAGAAAACCATATTGTAAAAAACACACCATAAAGTTTATAATACTGCAAATAAAATTCACTTATTCCATACTAACATCAAAGTCTCTGAGGATGAAGTGGTGATGGCATGAATTCAAAAGCTTCCCCTGCAGTAATACCTATGCTATGAATGAAGATATATTTTTGAGGATTTTTTAAGGGTCTTATTTGGTGTACAAATAAAATGTGTAAAATTTTGAAATTTTCCTATATTGATCTCCTTCTCTTTCTCCTGGAAAAGTTTCAAAATTTTCCCTTTTCCAGTTTTTCAGAAAAAAAATTAAAATGTAAGAGGGTGAATTTTCCGTACTTTTGCTTAAACAGATCAATTTTCCTGAATTTTTCCTGCAGCGATTTTTGTTTAATTAGAACAATTAAACAATGATCAACCTTCGCCGGCGTAATTTGACCGACTTCGTATATTTATATTTTATTCAATATCACGGTCAGCTTGCTATATGAGATTTAAGTTAGTCACAATATTTGGGTAATATAAAAATATCCAAACATCTTAAGTTGCATTCCAGAATGCATTTAAGTAATTACGGTCACAGTGTTTTATTTTGCAGTTTTTGTGACGATTAGTTTACCAAAATTCAATATGAAAAGGGATGTAAGATTCGGAATAAATCAGTATTTATCTAGCTTCAAAAGGTTTTTTACTCAAATCGTTTCCTGTGCCCAAGCCTTCTTGGCCAATGCAGAGAGTGAGGCTGCTCTTTGACAGAAAACGATACAATCGTCCTGCTGCTCAACCAAGCCGAGCTGGGCAAGCGTAATCTGCGAGCACAGCTTGCATAATTTTTAACTGGGAAATTTTGAAATTTTCCTCTTATGATTTCCTTATTTTCCTCTTTTTCCTGAAAAAATTTCAAAATTTTCCCTTTTCCAGTTTTTCAGAAAAACAATAAAATATGAGAGGAGGAATTTTTCTAAATAATCTTGCTTATGGAGTGATTTTCTTATGAACAATTTTGAAATTTTCCTATAATGAGCTCCTAACTTTCCTCTTTAACTTCAGAAAATTCCATAATTCTCCCTTTGCTAGTTTTGCAGAAAATAATTAAAATGTATTAGGGTAAATTTTTTTCAATTTTGCTTAAAAAAGTCAATTTTACAGAACTTTTCCTGGAGTGATTTTTCACTGGAAAATTTTGAAATTTTCCCATAATGATCTCCTTATTTTCCTCTTTCTCCTGGAAAATTTTCAAAATTTTTTCTTTTCCAGTTTTCCAGAAAAAAATTAAAATCTAAGATGGTGCAGTTTCCTTACTTTTGCTGAAACAAGTCGATTTTCCAGATTTTTTCCTGGGTCCTTATTCTTGAAACAGGGGAGGAGCTTTCCCAGGAGAACGAGTGTTCCGACTTTATTACTCATATGATCAGTTCCATATCATTGAGAAAGACGGAACAGTCGTTCTCCTGGGAACGCTGCTCCCCTGTTTCAAGAATAAAGACCCAGGAGTGATTATTCAATGGAAAATTTTCAAATTTTCCTTTTATGATCTCCTCACTTTCCTTTTTCTCCTGGAAAAACCTTCCTCTTTTTTTCTGGAAAAACTTCAAAATTTTCCCTTTCCCAGTTTTCCAGAAAAAAATTGAAATGTAAGAGAGTCAATTTTTTTTAAATTTGCTTAAAAAAGTCAAGTTTCCAGAATTTTTCCTGGAATGATTTTCTGCTGGAAAATTTTGAAATTCACCTATAATAAGCTTCAAACTTGCCTCTTTCTCTTCAGAAAATTTCATAATTCTCCCTTGGTCAGTTTTCCAGAAAAAAATTAAAATGTGAGAGGGTGAATTTTCCTTACTTTTGCCTAAACAAGTCAATTTTCTAGAATTTCTCCTGGAGTGATTTTTCACTGAAAAATTTTGAAATATCTCTATAACTATCTCTCCACTTTTCTCTTTCTCCTGGAAAAAATCCAAAATTTTTTCTTTCTTAGTTTGCCAGAAAAAAAAATTAAAATGTAAGAGGTGATTTTTTTTTAATTTTTCTTAAAAAAGTCAATTTCCCAGAATTTTTCCTGGAGTGATTTTTCTCCTGAAAATTTGAAATTTTCCTATAATGAACTCTTCACTTTTCTCTTTCTCCTGTAAAAGTTTCACAATTTTCCCTTTGCCAGTTTTCCAGAAAAATATTGAAAATGTAAGAAGGTGAATTTTTCTAAATTTTGTTTAAAAAAGTCAATTTCCCAGAACTTTTCCTGGAAAATTTTGAAATTGTCCTTTAATAGTCCAGGAGGCAGTGAAATTTTTTAGCACTTATTTTCCCAGTTGGTGTTTATTGAATAGTTAGTTCTCCTGGTGATACAAAGCAAGAATTTTTGAGTCTGGCTAAAATTTTCGGATGGGTGCACAAGATCAATGAAAAATACAAGTAAGTACGCTTATTTTCCCAGACATGAATATTTCACATTTACTACAATAAAACATAAAGTATATGAAAATAGCAATTTGGCTTATCTCAGATAGTGAAAGTAAGTCTGGCTGAAAATTTTCGGATCTTCAATATTTCACTTGCCAGGCATATTATCCATACTCACAGATTAGCCGGACTATTTTTTTACGTAACTTCATTATACTTCTCATTAGTAGACCTATTTTTATCACTGAGAAAAAAAAAGAGCCGTGCATTCGTAAGCTTTAACGCATTTTGCGCCTCAACCCATCGGAAAACCCCCCCTAGAAATAGATGTATTTTGCTTAGAATTACTAACCCTACAATTTTATCCATGTTGTCTGACTGGGAAAATAAGTGCCGAAAATCGTCACTGCCTCCTAGACTATAATGAACTCCTTTCTCCTGGAAAGTGAATATAATCGTTTCCCCGATAGTGTTCATAGACAATAATATCGTTGTCCCCTTGTTTCAAAAACGGAGCCGGTAAGTATAAGGTTTGTTGAGGTCCCATTTTAGCATATCGTCCCAAAACAAAACCATTCACGCTCACAATCCCTTTGACCCATTTTTCCATATTGATATAAGTATCCTTAGGTTCTTCCGTTATTGGTAAGGTACTTTTGAAAAGTTTCGGCTCAGACAATTCATTTTCAGGCTCGTACGCTTCGATCCACGAATCTAATCGGTTAATCCAAGACTTTTTGAATTCAAGCGCTGAATGTTTCCAATCAGACACTGGTCGGTTATTAATTTCGATTCCTCCTTGCCAAAGGCCTTTGAATTGTTTATATGCTCCTCCTCCATTGACTCTGCCGGAGTCTTCCACAATAATATCAAGCGTTGCATTATGTAATTCTTGTTCGGTGAGTATTATCGTACCATTTTCCCGTTTCCATGTACCAAAGAGGTCTAAATTAGACGAAAATTCTATTATTCCCGTTAATCTTTTTCCATTGAGTAGAATTAGAGCAATATCGTTAGGTCTTCCTACTATTTTCAGTTCAGACTATGACAGTAATTCCAGAGTTTTGGAATACACGATGTATCCATAACTTTGTCCATTTCCATTATTGATATTTAACTGTTCCATGGAAACTGAATTAGACCTTTCTTCATTTGGCAAGGAATCCAGAATACTAGTAATACTTATTTCATGAGTTATAGGTATGCTTGGATATGTTATTCTGGATACAAGTTCAGGCATATCTGGAGTAAATGTTGCCGGATTTTGGTTATATTTAGCTAATAATTCCTTGGCGGCATAATATTTTACAGTATAATCTCCATTTTCTGATAATATAGCATCATAATCGTAGCTTGTGGTGACTGGGCTATATTCTAAAAATAAGCATACCAAATATAAATTTGCTTTATGTTTATATTTTATTTAATTACTTACTTTCATTTGAATTGCTGGCTCCGTTTAAAACTGGAAATTTGTACCACCGATAAACATGTAAATATTTGCTGAAGCTGGGTATGTTAATATTTCGGTATAAATTTGCCTGAAATTATCCAATGTTCTGGTTTGGTGCGTTTGGGCTATATAATCAAACCATCCTAAAAAAAATCAGCGTCATCATCAATTCAATACCTACTCTTTCATTTTGAGAGTGAAAGAAAATACATTCAGAAAGTCAATATAAAAACAAATGAAATGCTTGGAAAAGTTATCATTTACCTGACCAAAATTCCATGGCCATTTTCGGCTTTCCAGGCTGATACAATTCAAGATAGTTTAAATTACCAGTTCCATTAGTGTTGAAGTTTCCAGTCATTAAAAATAACTCGGGTAGGGTACCAGCTGTACCTCTCCATGGATTGTCTGAAGTCACCAATAATTCAACGATTCCTGAAAACATAACAGTAATCGATAATTCAAAATTGTTTTTGAAGATGAAATATTCACTAGTTTGCTTACCATTACCCAACATCACTTGCCCTAATTCTCTGAGATATTTTTTATCCTTTCCACCAGTGCTCGCGAATTCGTTTTCTACTTGTAATGCTATTATTGGCCCTCCTTTTGTGAATTGATGTTTAGCCAATATTGGCAGTAAGACATTGAACCATCTGAAATTTATCAGATCGAGAAAAACTCTTGAAGTGTTTTATAAACGCACACTATACAGAGTGTATCAGGTTTGACTACAAAAATTTAAACACGTAAAAATATGGCTCATTTTGAAAAAAAAAGTTTACACAACATGGGGTCCAAATTCAACCATTTTTAAGAAAATGTCCTTTGAAGTTTTGACATTTTTTGATAAATATTTGAAAGAAAAATTTAGTAAGATAAGAGCAGAGATGTAAAAAAATTTAGTTCATCCAATTATTAAGTAATTAGGTATGCATTTCTAGTCAACAACAATTGTGAAAAATTGAAAAAACAACATGAATATTTTACTCGTATTTCGGTATCTAAACATCTAGCAAGATAGCATAGAGAGAACCTTGGTTGAACGGATTATCTTGATTTGTTTTATCATGTCAATTAGTTAAAGTATTGAAAACTCGCGTAATTCATTCTTTTTTGGAAATAAAATGTTTACAAACGTCGAATATGCAGATACTTGTTTAGGCTGCATAGTTACAAAATGCTCATTCAGCCGCCAGAATTTACAGGGAAAGATTTCCCAATAAAATGGCACCCATGAAAGAAATTTTGCCCGTTTTCCAAAGATTCCGTGATATGGGACGCGTGAGTGTGCAAAATCTTCGTGATGATTTTGCGTTGATTTTTACAGCTGTATGCAATATCCTCTTTTAACTTAAAAGCGCTTTTTAAAACAGGTATCTTCAAAAATTTGTTGGTTTAGAATACACATGATGCCATAAATGTGTGGGTCTATTCAGTGGCGGACCTAGACCCTGGGGGGCCCGACGCAAAAACATTTTTGGGACCCTGTCTCAGACTGTTTTTGAAGTTTTTTAAAGCCAAATATAAAAACAAATTTAATTGAACCACAGGTTTATCAAGAACATATGAGACAATATTATGAAAACAAGTTAAACAAAAAAATGTTCGAAATGTTTCAAGTCACAGCCACTATTTCCCTTGGCAGGCGCTGCGTATTTCCAGCTAAATTGGTTGGTTAACTAACACCTACTCCACCTAAGGCGGGTATTACAAAGCTATTTTGACGGAATAACTAAATGTTAACTTCTGGAATGACGCTACTTCTCAGTAACTGCAGGAGTTAACTGTCAACTTTCAGTTATCTGTCAAAATAGTTTTCTAATACTCGCCCTTAGTACACACACAGGCCACCAAAAACAAAAACTAAAAAGCACCTCATTGTACTGTCCGTACTCCACCGACCAGTGCCGTAAATTATCTCTTGATCTCTTTCAAAATTTAATTTTCGTTTTTTTTTTAAATATTTATGAGTTAATTTTTTTTCAATCATTTTTATCGATGCCGATTTAGAATTCGGTTGTATGGGGACCCCTTAGCTTTGGGGGCCCGACGCAGAGTGCGTCGTTTGCTTCATGTTAGATCCGCCACTGAATAAGTGTATGTGTGTATTATTGTTTTTATTAATTGAATTATTATAGCTATTTATGTACCAAGGGGATTATGTAGATTATAATGCTCGAAGGCGAAACTAGCCCGAGGGCCTCTGGCCCGAGGGATATATTTCGCCTGAAGCGCATTTTAATCTTAAAATCCCCGTGGTGCATACAAGGCTTTATTTTCTACTCAACACAATGTTCTTTCATCAATTTATTATTAACAAAATCAGTTAAACTTGTGTGACAGAATATTGTTTTGTATTTTGACATGTACCTGTCCCTGAGACCTGTACCTGTACCTGTGACCTGTACCTAGAAACGAAATAAATTAATATATCTATAAATATCTCATAAGGCAAGGCAACGGTGGTGGTCGTGTTGGTTAACGCGCTGGAATACATGGGAAACGTTAATGGTAGACCGGGTTCGAATCCTGGGGCCTTATTCTGTAAGGAATGAACCGTTCGATTCGGTAGAATTTCTTCGATTGTGACGTCATTTTCGATTTGATAGCGCGAAAACCAAACCCAAAATGACGTCACAATCGAAAAAATTCTACCGAATCGAACGTTTGTTCTTTACACAATAAGGCCCCTGGCTAGACCGAAAATTATTTTCGGTCAGACATTTAGTGGCTGCCTAAGGTAAAGTGCAAATTAATAAAACAACAACAACAACAACAAAAACACCTCAGGGTATTATAAGTGGGCGTTATAGATCATAACGCCCGCAAAAGCGGGCGTTATGGATCAGGTTGTTATAGGTATGTTAACGTATTTGGTTTCCTAGGTATTATGGATATATACTAGTTAAGTAGAAAATAAAATTTCATATGGTTTTCAGCTAATTGATAATTTAATACGCAACCTGTAGCTGCATCTAAAGTTAGTGGATGTTGCACCATTAAAATTGTTCTTAATTCAACAGGAGAGTTTGTGACTAAATTTTGGATTGCCATTATTTCATTTTGGTCTACCAAAACATTTGCTACTGCAACTAAATTTTGATCACTCATTATATTAGAAGTTATTCTATGATTTAAACTTTTTAATCTCTCTAAATAATCAAAAATATTCTCTTTAATATTTCGAGTAGTATACATTAATTCTTGTACTAAGTTTTGTCTAGAATATGGGTCTCCATATTTTAATCTTAAAGCGTTCTTTATATCAATCCATGTTTTCAAGTCAGGACGTGACATAAGGAAGTTTCCTGCTTCATTGATTAATTTTGATTTAATCGCTGTTATAACATATTCTTTCTATGCATTTTCGCCAGTATAATATGTAGTATAAAATTCTTCGATATTACTAATAAAATATTCGTATTGTTTTTCGCCACCAAAAGGCTTAAGTAATTGTACAATAGATTTCAAATTATCACCCATGGTTCTTGGTTGATGATTATTATTTCTTAATGAATTATTAGTACTTGGATTATATAAATGAGATAGGTTAAATTGGGTTAAGAGGTTCTGTATTTCCTCTTCACAATCTGACATGTATTTTTTGAATTATATGCTTATTCATAAATAGAAAAACAAAAAATAGTTTCCTAAAAATTTATTATTTTTTTTCTGAAAATTAAAAAATTGGAAAAAATTATTTATAATAGAACATTAAGAATAGTTTTTCAAAAAAAATCTATTATTATTATTATTATTTATTTTTTTGAAAATTAAAAATCAAAAAAAATCAAAAATTCAAAAATTCAAAATAAGGTGTAGGTATCTAATACCTAATTCATAATTTATGGAAATAAATCGTATTCAGTTATCAATTATATTTTTTTAAATTAATTATTCATTTAGTCGTTAATAATATTTTTTAAAATTAATTAGTTATCAATTATATGTTTCCTTTAAATTAAGTATTTATTTAATCGTTAATTATTTTTTTTTAAATTAAATTCTACTTTCAAAATTATTTATTTAATATAAAAGTTTACTTTCTTAAAATTAAAACTAATAAAAAAAAAAATCAAAAAATTCTAAATTAGAAATTTTATGTTTCGCTTAAAATTAAAAACCAAAAAAAAATCAGCAATTTAATTTTTTCTCTGAAAATTCAAAATTGAAATCTTTGAAAATTGAAAATAAAATATGAAAAAATTGGATTTTTTTTTTCTAAAACATGAAATTAAAGTTTTTAATTAATTATTCAGTTTCCTGAAGTTTAAAAATTAAAAATTGGAAATTTATTTTTTTCGTAAAAAATCAAAAATTAAAGTCTTAAAGGGGGTGTGCGCCAAAAATTAAAGTTTTAGTGTAAAAAAATCTAAGAATAACTGTTCAAACCTCATTATTCTACGATAAACCATCGTTGAGATATACCGCTTTAAAGTGTGGATGACGCTCTCGTGACGTCACGAAAACTTCGTCCAGCGGAGCGCCGCATTGTTAATTTGATTGTTCCCGGCACGTGTAAGTGGTTTTTGTTTAGATTATTGCAGGTAACACAGAAAAAACATTATGTAAATTTAATTAAATCCACTTTCTCGTGCGTCGCTTGAGCTTTCGTGACGTCATAGGGTGAGATGCGGTAACTTCATAGAGCCATATTTGCGGTATTATTTGTCATAGGGGGGTGCGGATTTCACTGTTATTCTTAGATTTTTTTTCTCTTTTTTTTGAGATGAAGTTGTTTTTTTGGCACACACCCCCTTTAAATTTATTATTTAGTCTCGTAGGTTACTTGCTTAAAATTATTTTATTTGTATTTGGTCTTAATGCCAAAACAAATTGAAATTGAAAAATTTTTTATGATAAAAAAACTGAAAAAAAAAAAGAAATTTTTCAAAAGAACTTAATTATGAAACACCAATTACAAAATACAATTTATAAGAAAAGGGATTACTTACAATGCACGATGATTGAAACTGTTTTACTTTAACTTCGTACGTTGGATCTTGTTGTTTCTTTTCTTCAGTAATTTTTTTCAAAAAGTGGAACGAATTGGATTAAACTTTTTCGAAAATTCAATCTCTGGACTCTATAGCACTCTGAAGAACATCTGCACCGAACTGCGCCAATTATATTTTCGATTCAGAAACTTGTATTTTTAAAAAACATTTATTTTATTAATTAAAATACAATAGTGACAATCGAAAAATATGTGGATCAAATTGCTACAGGGAGTGCCTGAAAACAAATGAACACTCCTTACGGGAAAGCTCTGGCTTAAATAATAAATATTTGCTGATCCAAGCATTTTCCTAGGCAGGTGGTGGTACTACCAGTGCAGTACCGCTGATTAAGCAGTTTTATATATTTATTAGTATTGACATAGGCGTACGCTTATAATTCACATAGGAAAGGAGAATTATTAGTATAAAGATAACATAGGGTCTTACAATATAACTTGCTGCAAGCTGTGTTGACAAACTACACCTCGCGCTAAAATCTAGTACTTTTTTTCCTGTTTATAATACACTATTTTTTTCCTGTGACGGGAAAAAAGTAGCTTTTTTGCACCTGTTGACAGGGACAAAAATGTCACTTTTTCTCCCACGGGAAAAAAGTGATAGGTAATTTTTTTCCCACGAGAAAAAAGTAACAGGTACCAGTCAAATTTTTGTCTCAAAGGAAAAAAAGTATATGTAAATACGGGCACAGAAAAAAAAAATGTATAGACAGAAAATGGTGGCTCAGTTAAGCTGGCCCCCCCCAGTTGATTTTTTTTGCTCAAAAAGCTAGCGCAGACAGAGGATATCTAGCACAGGCTAGCGCACCACTTTTAAAAGCTAGCGCACCAGCCCCCGCGGAAATAGCAGGGGATGCGATCGGGAGGGATAAATTAAAAAAAAAAAACAACGTGTAATCATACTCGAGAACTAAAAAGCGGATCATTTTAGAAATTTGGCAACCTGGATAAACGACCATGATCCACACTTTAAAATTATTTTTGACCATGCTGTGTTGCCGCTTCTACTCTTAGCCGGTGGCAACATCGTTATTTTCAATGAAAGACCCTGTATATTTTTAAATTTTCGAATTCGGTATATAATTATGAGCAACTTTTTTTATTACCTTCCTATACCTATCTGTCGCCGTTTTTCGGGAATAAATTAATTTCAATTTTTAATTAATTAATATGTCCCTCCTATAAAACAATTTTGAGCTGTAATTTGGGTTATCCCTGTAGGCATTTGATCTTTCGCTCACATCTTAGTTCAAGTATACCTACAGGATGATCCAGAAATTAATTTTTGTCGGTAACTCATAAAAATGCCAGTTTTTTTTTTAATGGAACACCCTGTATAATAATATGGATTTAAAATGTTGATAAAACTAGCTTTCAGACTATGTATACTTTGCCCATACCTAATTCTTCATTTTTTTTTTGGATTTATTAGCGTTTATTCATTAGCATTGTTCTGGCATAATCCAAATTTCGGCATAAAATTTTTTTATAGGAGGGAGATATTAAGATTCAGTCCTGTTTTCGTTAAAAAAAAAAATTGAAATTAATTACCTATTCCTGAAAAGCGGCGACAGATAGGTATAGGAAAGTATTGAGAAAAGTTGTTCTGTTGCTCATACAGGGTGACACAAGGAATAGGGAACAGCCTATAACTTTTTTAATATATAAGTTGAAAATTTGAAATTTGGGGAGCTTAAACGAGGCAACTTTTTAAGTTTTTTAGAAGTAAATTGCGTTACAAGTCACTTCCGGTTTAACCGGAAGTGGCCATAATTTTTGATTTTCAAATAGGACACCCGGTATTTTTTAAATTTTCTGGCATCAGCAGATCATTTTAAGTATGGTAGCACCATTTTTGGCAAATTTTTAACAAAAAAAATAAAATAAATTGAATTAATTTTTAGAAAAAAAAATTCGGCGCTGCCACTGGTGTAAATTGATTTAGTTGGATATTCTTAATATCAGGAAAGTCTGTACTTTCAATTTTTTGCTAACTGAACGCCATAATTTCAGATCAAGATTCAACAAAGAGGTGTTTTCAAGGTATTCCATATTTATCAAATGTAACCACGCTGGGACATTTTTTTCCCTGTTTTTTGATATCAACATTTTTAAAATCCGCTGAAAAAAAAAATCAACAACTTTTGAAAAATCCAAGCAATTTTTTTTTTGGTTTTGTTATAAATGTTTCAAAAATGTTCCTATCATACGTAGAATGATCTGCTGATGCCAGAAAACTCAAAAAATACCGGGTGTCCCATTTGAAAATTGAAAGTTATGGCTACTTCCGGTTTAACCGGAAGTGACTGGTAACGCACTTTACTTCTAAAAAACCCAAAAAGTTGCCTCGTTTAAGCTCCCCAAATTTCAAATTTTCAACTTATATATTAAAAAAGTTATAGGCTGTTCTCTATTCATTGTGTCACCCTGTATGGGCCGAATTCAAAAATTTGAAAATATACAAGGTGTTCCATTTAAAATAGCGATGTTGCTACTGGTTTAGAGTAGAAGCGGCAACACCACATGGTCAAAAATATTTTCAAGGGTAGATCCATCATAGTCGTTTATCCCGGTTTCCAAATTTTCACAATGATCCGCTATTTAGTTCTTAATAAACTAGGGCTGTAAAAGTAACGAAAATTTTAATTAATACTCGTACGTATTCGTTACTTTTGATATTAATATTCGTTACTAAATATTCGTTACTCGTTACTTCCGTTACTCTAGTATTCAGAGGATAGGAAAGATACCTACCTATGCGAAAAAGTAGAAAAGTGACTCATTCGCCATTCGCATTTATTCCGATTATCGAATAAGTATTGTCGGGATTCGTATTTTCAATATTTGACAATAATAAATATACCCAAACTGTCTAAAAATATTTAAAAATTTGTTTACAGAATTTACCTATATGAAAAATCTTTGGTAAATGTTCAAAAAAACAAAACATTTCGTAGAGATGCGACTGATGCAATTAACGGAAGACGGCCGACAGTAACGAATCCGTATTTCAAATCCGAGACAATACTCGTTACTCGGTAACGAATACATACGGTTTGTCACAGCCCTACAATAAACGTCTAATACGCCATCCACCGTGGGACACCCATACATAGGGCGATGCCAGCGGCTAAGTTCAGCCACTCAGCAGGAACATTATTCTCGAAACAGGGAAGCAGCGTTCTCATGAGAACGAAGGTTCTGTCTTCGTCATATGTATTCATGTTTCCATATTTAAAACCTTTTTAGAAGTACCGGTTGTTCTAGTGACTAAACGTATGTCGCTTCTTGAACATACAGATAAAACTAGGTTAGGAATTTCCTATTTGTACATGAAATTGACGTATTAGCAATCGACGTTCGTTTTTGTTGGTAAATATGTATAACACTGACAGCGACAGAGCAATCGTTCTCATGAGAACGCTGTTCCTCGGCTTCGAGAATAAAGTCCCTGTTGAGTTGCTGAGCTTAGCCGCTGGCACCGCCTGATTAGTCGTGTTCTTTCTACTCAGGATCTCACTTATTCTCATTTTACTTCACTTACTCACTTACTTACATATGATTTACTCGAATAACCTCAACACTTCGTCCAAAAATGAGATGAGACGAGCCGTAAAAAGAACACGCCTAATGTACCCATATATTATACGATATATTGATACTTCCGCGATGATGGAGCACATCGATACAAATTTGTCATATCCATATGACAAATATATAATTTGTATGTCAGAATTTCATTTGCCATTTCATTATTGTCAATAGTTTCAATATTAGGTGGGTTCGACTTGCTCACTCCGTGCCCTCCGAGTGACTCCATTCGCACTCCAGCCGATCGGGTATTGCTTTTTGGCGTATTAGGGGTGACTCTATTAGCGTTCGACTATACGAAGTGAAGTACATGGAGTTCACTCCAAAAGTTCTACCTCGGAAAGAGAATTTTTTAAAGTAAGCATGCGCCGAAGTGAAATGTGGAAACTGTCAAGCTTGTTGTGTTGTCACGGTGTGGTTGTGGGGGGGCTAGCGTTAATCTGCCTCCCCTCCCCTAACGATCGCAATCCCTGCTATTTTCGCGGGGGTTGGTGCGCTAGCCTTTAAAAGTGGTGCGCTAGCGTGCGCTGGATATTGTCGTATCTAGGATAATAGGGCATCTCCCTTCGGTAAATTAAACTCACTCGTCTCCCAAAAAAGTTCATGGGTTACAGGAAAACCATCGGTTTCAGTTCCATGTCCGTACAAATTAATAGTTTAATAATTCGTTCAACTTGCAATGTTATTTACATGTAACGTGACCGATGGTTTTCCTGTAACCCATGAACTTTTTTGGGAGACGAGTGAGTTTAATTTACCGAAAGGAGATGCCCTATTATCCTAGATACGACAATATCCTCTATCTACGCTAGCTTTTTGAGCAAAAAAATTCAACTGGGGGGGGCCAGCTTAACTGAGCCGAAAATGGTGAGATTTTCTCGTCACAGAAAAAATAATTTATTTTTATTTTTTATTTGAATTGTAAGGACCTGGAGCCAGCTAAAATCCTGCAGAGTCCGACTCATCTGTCCTGAGTCGGTAGCGCCCAAAAATAAATCCAACCTTACTCTCCGAATTATTGTTTACTCCTGAGTTAGGGTTTAACTTGCACACACTTCGACTTCCAGTCCTGCAATCTCAAGTATCTTCATTGAATTTTTTTCCAACTTTTAATCACCGAAAAAGCGTGGCAAGTCCAATTAAAAAGAATCAGCAGTCTAGGACTGCTTTATTTAAATATCGGGAAATCAAATTAAGCCACTGAAAATATTTACATTTAAATGTGCTTTATTTACAATGAAATTCTAAAGTTGATTAGAAAAACATTCATAAACCTTTTTTTTTTTGTTTTACGAAATCATCGCTATAACAACAAGTATATAGATAGATCTTACAATTATTAACATCCATCGTATTTTTTTAGAGTTTTTATAGTCTGTTATGTAATCTTAACGACTCTGGGATTGTCTACTAACGTTTTTTTTTTTTTTTAAGGGGTTTCAATATTGGACTGAAAAAGTTTTTTGACAGATATCTATAAAGTTTTTAAAGCTTTTTTACGACTAGAACCTACAAACAAATTTATATAATAGTTATATAAAAAAAAATGTCTTGAATTAGAAAAACAGTTACAATGAGGTAAAATGTCTATGAATATTTTGATTCAAAATTAAAACCATAATAAATTCTACCCCTACAAAATCAATAACATTTAATTAAAAATTCTCAAAATCACAACAATGCTACACATTCAGTTCTATTCAGTAATTCTGAGCTTATTTTGCTCTTTTTTTTTCAATATAAAGATCGACAGTGATATAAATTCGAAACATTTCATTCTTATAAGTCTAAGCACACTATACACGTAATGAAATTTTACTACATGAATATGTACGGTGAAAAAACACATCAAAAGTGTAAAATTTCTAAGTCTTGTTAAAAGGACACGTAATTTTTATTAAAATTGCTTTTCGTTTTAATGTGGGAGAAGAAGGAGGACAGAACTTTTTCATAAATTTCGAAAAAATCCTAAATTTAAAAAATTTGCAACTACATAACAAATAGTGAAAAAATATTTTGTCTATCAATAGAAAACTTAACTATTATTTATTGACAGATTTTTTATTAATTAAATGGTAGATGTCATATGCATTTTTTTTTCTGCCTTGATAAATGGACAACAAGAACAAAACTACTTTGTACTTACTCAAAAATATTTTGTGCTTATTGTATTATTCAAAAAAAAAAGAAAATAAACTAAAAATACATATGAACATATGTCTATCGTATGAGTGAATTAGCAGATGCTGAAAGTTGACCATGAATCTGTGAAGATACAGAAGGTGTTGAAGATGGAATCCGCAAGGGTATTTCTTCGATTTTTTCCAAATCTGCCGCTCCAGCCGAGTTTTGCTTACATAGTCGAGGACTTGGCTAAAACAAACAATAATTAATAAATTACATAGTTTAAAATTAACATTAAACTTTATAATACGTATTTGGAAGACCCTTAGAATGAGAAACTTTTAAAATAAAATTACCAACTGAAATGTTTTTGATGTAGAATAAATCCATTAACCTTCTATTCGGGTTTGCTCATTAAAAGAACGTCTTTCGTTTGAACTTTTTGAAAGTTTTGGTCTTAGAAAAAAGGGTAATAGCTGAAGAAATCTCGTAACTCTTAATTTAAAATTTCAACGTTGCCCGCCAATGCTTTTACAGTAGTTTTCGATTTTAAATGCTCGCTATTTTCATAATATAGAACTTCGCTTTTATTGTGCCTTTTTTCTCAATTATAGGAGTTTGAAAGATTCACTTCAACTACTACACCTGAATAAAATATGCAAAACATTTTGAAATTCCTCACCTCAACTATTTTCAAAACTTCTTCTGCCCTATCCAAGCTAAACTGTCTTCTAAGAAGTTTCCCTGTTCTCACTTTGGGACTGAGGCATTTGTAGTGACTGTACGGGGTACTAATATCTTCGCCTTCTTCCTGAAAATCAATTCCTAAACTATTGCAACATTATCAAAATCTTACTCACCTTTATTTTAGAGGTAGATCGAGGTCCCCTTCTGTAAGGACACAAAGAGCTCGTCGACGCTCCAAGTAAGGCGGCTGCAACTTCCGAAGCTGAAACAGGTGTGCCGAGAATTAGGGGCATGTCGCTGGAGGTGCTCTTCACTATGCGGTCAGATGATCTGAAATTTACTTATTTTATATACACTATCGGTAGTAAAAGTATACTTAATTGTGAGCTACCTGAAACTAAGATTCAAATTAAGAGATATCAGAACCAGAATCTGATTTAAAAGATTTAATTTAATTCATAATTCGAAGAGTTCTTGGTAATCAGAATCTGTTTGAAAATCTTTGACAGTTCAAGATATTATTCTAGATGTCTAGATATAATTTGTTTCTCCAAAGCCCCATGCGAATTGGCGAAATAATATATTCTCGAATATAATAATATTCTCCAGAATATTCTATTTTAAATATTAAATAATAGAGGTATAAAATTTTCCATAGCAACAACACCCAATATGCCGCGCCACTTGATAGCAATTCTAATTCTTCGAACGCAATCTAGAATTCAATTCTGATTGGTCGAACACGACTCCGGAATTCTAGGCTTTTCCCTGAGTATGTAAAAGAGACCACGGAGTCGCATTGTTAATCAGTTACGCGCAAGAGTTTCTAATATTAATAAGAGCGTCGTGGCAAGCTCAGTTTTTGAAGTTTTGTTTTTGGCTGCGGTCAAAAAATCATTCACACAATTGTAAATTTGTAAATAGTAATGTAAAGTAGTGAAGTAGTTCTGTGAATAAATACTTAGTGGTGTAAATAAGACAAAACCAGCGTTTAATTTCAATAAAAACAGCGACGAATTCAATATACAGTCCACTAATAATGAACACCACGACATTTTGGTCCAGCTCACCGGATGAAATGAAAATAAGTGAATAAATAAAGGTCCATGCCTCTACCGACCGCCAAGTAACACCGATTACCAAAACTTTTTCGCGACATTATCCGAAAGCTGTGATAGTATACAGTCAAACTATCCACAGGCGAAAATTGTCTTTTTAGGCGATTTCAACGTCCACAATATACCCTGGCTGAAACACCACAACAAAACAGATAACGAAGGCAGAGAAGCAGAAGCTTTTGCCATAAGTTGTGGTCTAACGCAGCTTGTCGATGAACCTACCCGTATCTCAGAAAGGGGCGAATTTGCAGCGCTTTTAGACTTGTTCCTAACCACCAATCCTGACTCGTACACAATTCAAGTAGATGCTCCACTTGGTTCGTCCGATCATAAACTTATAATAACAAAGTGCGAAATGCTCATCTCACCAAGCCTACAACCACTTCCTCGTAAAATGTGGCACTATAAATCGGCAAAATGGAATGACCTAAAACAGTATTACCTGGATTTTCCATGGCAAGAGGTTTGCTTTAAAACAGCTGATCCCACTATTTGCTGTAATGAAATAACACAAGTAATCTTATCTGGAATGGACGCATATATCCCACATACAACTAAACGTAGAGCTAATGCAAAACCTTGGTTCAACAGCCAGTGTCAAACGGCTGTACAGAAAAAACACAGAGCCTATAACCTTTGGAAACGACAACAAACCGCTCAAAACCACACAGAATTTATAGAAGCCAGAAATAGTTGCAAAATTACTATTGACTCCGCTAAAGAAACATACAATCAAAGAATAAAAAACAGGTTGCTGAATTGTCCAAGTAGTTCTAGGTCTTTTTGGTCTCTTGCAAAAGCTGTTGGATCTAACTTCACCAAGTCATCCATACCACCACTTACAGATAAAAATAATCACTTAGCCACAACATCAGAGGAAAAAACCAATATGCTTGCCCAAATGTTTTCCTCCAACTCCAACCTAACAGTGCCAAACGGAAAAACTCCACCGTTCATTAAAAGGGTTTCCCATAGTATGCCAGAGGTACCCTTTTGTCACAGAGAAATACGAAAATCCCTAAAAAAGCTGGATACAAACAAAGCAATGGGTCCGGATGGCATTCCCGCAATAGTACTCAAAAATTGCGCCAACGAACTCACCCCAACTTTCGCAAAATTATTCAATTTGTCTTACAGGCAAGGAGTATATCCATCATCATGGAAGTCTGCCGCAGTACAACCCATTCCAAAGAAAGGAAAAAAGACAGATCCGTTAAACTATAGACCAATTGCTCTACTTCCGGTGATATCAAAAGTAATGGAAAGAGTTGTGAACAATCACCTAACCAAGTACTTGGAAAAGTACAAAATTATCAACGATAAGCAATACGGATTTCGAAAATATAGGTCAACTGGCGATTTACTTACATACGTCACTCACTTATGGCAAAAAGCGATTGAGTTGCGGGGTGAAACAAGAACAATTGCCTTAGATATATCTAAAGCATTCGACAAAGTTTGGCATGAAAATCTGCTCAACAAGCTCAAAGCAATGGGATTATCGCCGAAACTTTGCACTTGGTTTGAAAGTTACCTAAAGGACAGATCCATTTATGTTGCACTGGATGGCCAGAACTCCAACTCTTACCAAATAAATGCTGGTGTGCCACAGGGAGCAATCCTTTCGCCAACTCTTTTTCTGATTTACATAAATGACCTCATAGATAAAACAGTAAATCCACTTTATTGCTTTGCAGACGATGGCAATGTAGTCTCCTCACTCATACCACCCACAGGTCTTTCCGCACGTGAATTCGATCATCTTAGACTAACTCAAATATCGCAGATAAATAACGACCTGGAGATAATAGAGGACTGGGGTAACAAAAACCTTGTACAGTTCAACGCGCAGAAAACACAAGCAGCTCTGTTTTCAAAAAAGACCAGCACCGGTGAGCCAAACATCATGCTATCTGGAAGTGCTGTCACATTACAGAGTCAGTTGAACATCTTGGGGGTTACTGCAGAGACCAACATGTCTTGGCACAGTCACGTGGCAGATATTGCTAAAAGGGCCTCCCAAAAGCTGTGGGTGCTATTTCGTACAAGACATCTGTACACACCAAGCCAATTGCCGACACTCTACAAAGCCCAGATTCGACCAACTATGGAGTACTGCTCACATATATGGAGTGCAGCACCCAAACATACCTTAATGCTTTTGAATACCGTGCAAAAACGAGCTATCAAGCTGATCAATGACCCCGCACTTACTCGTAACTTGGATGGTCTCGAACATCGCAGATCTGTGGGCGATTTATCTCTCTTCTACAGGTACTATCACGGAAGATGCTCTGAAGAGTTGGCACGTATGATTCCACCGCGAGTAGCACCTACCAGGCGAACCCGTCAAACAGACGGTAACCATGAATTTACTGTCAAACTAGAGGCACCAAGAACCTCATTATATCAGAATTCATATCTCTGGAGAACAGCATCGCTGTGGAATAAACTCCCTGCGACGGTTTTCCCTGCAGGTTACAACCTGAACCGTTTCAAGACCAACATACACCGACATTTCCGCGCACTTGCCGCATCTCGAGCGTGATAGGACATTTCCTTGCGAGTGCGCATATCCAAAAAAAAAAAAAATGTACCTATTGCTGTTATTAAATAAAGACGTGAATGGAGGTAAATAGAGGTCCATGTACCTAGTATTCACTATAATAATACAATAAAAATGGTGTAGTGGAACGTTGGACCGTGGAGTACCTAATAAATTCAGAAGCAAGAAGCAGCGAGTTTCCCTAGCCTAGCCATTGAAGGTTGAAGGAGTCGTCGAATAAAAACTGAAAGTGATTGTGTTGCGATTTGAGGGATTGAGATAGGCTTGTCCCCAGGAGTGAGAAGGACAGCGGACAGCGGCCTGGCGTCGACGTCATCGCCGTGGTTGGACAATAAAAAAATAAAATAAATGAGCATAATATTGTTTAATTTAATAATATTTTGGATTTTGGAAACGGTAAGGACTTGAAGGCCTGGTAAGTCATTTTCAATTTTTATTTTTTTTGGATAAATAAATATAAAGTGTCTTTTTTTTTATTCCTATTTTCCCTTTTTTAAATGAACAAATATTCAGCAATTATTACTCGTTAATGTATTTTAACATATTTTGGCTACTTTTGATCGGTAATTAGGTAATTAATTAATAATAAAAATGAGTTAGGCTAATATTAAAAAGCTCAAAAGCGACCGCAAACAAGTAGTTTCACAGTTGGAGAGGTTTAACACATTCATTAAGTCATGTAATCAACTCACAAATCAATTAACAATAAAAGAAAGGCTCTCCAAGTGTGAACAATTATGGGATGATTTTAATAAAATTCAAATGGAGTTGGAATATTTAGAGGACACTCCAGAAGCACAGGAAGATAGGGAATTATTTGAAAATAAATATTTTGAAACGATTTGCATGTTCAAGGAATTATTAAATGATTCAAATATTAGTAGTAATAATTTAAATAGTTCTAATTCTTCTCAAGGCAAAATTGGAACCGTTTCTGACGTAGTGAAATTGCCACCTTTAGATTTACCTCAATTTGATGGTAATTATGAAAATTGGAGTTGCTTTTTTGACACATTTGTGGCTCTTATTCATTCCAATAATAATTTAGGTAATGTACAAAAATTTTACTACCTCCAGTCTTGTCTTAAGGGTGAGGCGACTCAGGCAATTAGCTCAATACAAGTCACAGATTTAAATTAGGAAATTGCCTTCAAGATATTATGTGAGCGTTATGAAAATAAAAGATTAATAATACAAAGTCATTTAAGATCTCTTTTTGATATGCCATCAATAAATAAAGCCTGTCATTCAGAATTAAGGAAATTTTTGGATACAATTCAAAAAAATGTAAGGGCATTAAGGGTTTTAAATGAACCAGTTGATTATTGGGATACAATTTTAGTTTTTTTGTTAAACCTTAAATTAGATGTAATTTCTAAAAAAGAATGGGAAATGTTTAGTCTAAAAAATAATTCTACAAGTTACAATGATTTCATGAATTTTCTCACAGAAAGATGTCAGGTATTAGAAAGTGTGGAAGCAAGTAGATCAGTTGTAGTAAAGACACTTGATAAGCCCCAAATAAAACCTCCCATAATACGCTCTCGTGCCTATTTGGCAGGTTCTAATAATTCTCAGTGCTTACTTTGTAATAACGGCGAACATTCTATTTGGAATTGTTCTAAGTTTTTAAGTGTTTCAGAACA